CCAGCATATTTTGTTGTTTTTTGTTTTTTTCAGAGTCTCACTTTGTCACCCTGAATAGAATGCAGGGATGTCATAGCTCACAGCAACCTCAAACTCATGGGCTCAAGCAAACCTCTTGCCTCAGCCTCCTGCGTAGCTGGGACTACAGGCGCCTGTTGATCAATTTTTTTATAGTCCCTTGGGTGGTCAACTTATGGAGATTCTACTATAAAAAATATTGTTTTTTTTTCTTGTTTTTAACAGAAGCACATCTTTTAGGCACGACTCCTCTTTCAAGGGACATCAATTAGCATAGCATAATTCTGGTCCTCTCTCTAACTCTTTGCACATCCATTCTTGGGAGGTGAAGTGGTTTAAGAAAAGATAGCTGGACACGCGGCTCCACGTGGTCCTTCTCCTTCCACTGGGGAAGCTTCCCAGGAGAGTGCGAGTTCTTCCCTGCCCTTCCAGTTGGGGCCTCCCACATGGTGCTGCCTTTGTAGAAAGGGTAAGGACCAGACTAATTCTAGTCCTTGATGCAAAGAAAAGCCATATTTTAAACCTACTTTTTGTTCATAATAAAAAAGATATTTGTTGCCCATCTTTGCTTTTGGTATAATTTCTTACTTTTCCAGTATCCAAATATGAAAGCAGTTATTCTTAGGGTTTTCCTCAGAAATAACTGATAACTCTCATAAAATAGACAAAACAAAATCCTCCTCTGTCTCATAACAATGAGTTCAAGTTACTTTTCATATAAGAAAAAGAAAAAGGAAAATTAACAAGGAAATTTGAAGAGAAAAATAATGCTTTGACTAAATATTACTAAACTTCTTAAAAACAGTGTGATTGTCTGATAATAGAACACAAAACATAAAGTAAAAACTGAAGTTTTCATCTACTACCCAAGTTTGATTCCTCTGGTTTCTCTTCACTTGTTTTTTCAAGAAAATCTTTTAAAAGGTCGGATGAGAGACCAAATGGGAGAGACTTATCTGGGCACTGCGTCGTCACAGCCAGAAACGTAGAATCAATCAATCAATACAACGAGCTGTGTACGAAAAACAACCAGCAGAGTTTGTCCTAAATGTTTGCCCTGTCGCCAGGTTTGCTTTGAGCCAGCATATGAGAGATTTTGTGATTAGGCCCCAAAGCACAAAAATACCAATTAATTATGATGATTATCTATGTCTTCATTAGTAGTCTATAAATAAATCATGCACAGTATTATGCAGTCAGCTATCCTGGAAAAAATGTTCTTCTAGAGGGCTGTGAAAACAGCCTAATTAATTATAAATGCTCTGCAACTTATCACATATTATATTTTGAAATGTTAAAGCATACATATGTACACATGTTCTATATGTGTGGAGGTATCTGTCAAACTGTTCCAGGGTTTCTTTATGCCACTTGCCACTGAAATGCTTTCCAGAATCAAACTGAAAGTTTGTTAAAATTCTATATTTATTGTTAAAAGTAAAAACGTTATTTAGAATGCTTCTGTTTCCAACTCCTCTCATGTTTTCTGATGACAGGATGTTTCTCTTTGATATTTAACTTCTGTGCTCCCAGAAAGGCTTTGTAAATATGTTCCTCTCCTCCTCCCACCCCATTCCCTTCCTGCCCTCAGAATATTTTCCTCATTTATGCAAAATGATTTTTTCCTGAAAGTGTTACCGTTATTAAAAAACGCTTTAATTACGGCTGTCATGAAACCATTTGTTCAAGGCATCCTCATTCGCTCCTGCAGAGACTCTGTTCCCCACCCACCCTGCCAGACCCACGGGGGACTAACCTCCCTGAACTGCATCAAGCACTTCCCTTGCCCTCCGGTTTCCAGTTGAGCTTGGCTAATGGGGATCCCTGGCAGGAGATCAGAGGGAGGTGGGAAAATTTATTTCCCTGGCTCCTTTTCTGCAGGTTGACTGTGTACCTGCACCAAAGGTCACAGCTCTTGACAGGTGCTTCTTGCCACACAGATTGCACTGTGAGTTTCAGTCTTTTCCGATCTAAGGGTGATAACACCTCTCTCGGCTGTAACTGGCTCTGGGGTGCCACATTATCTCTTTTGATTTCTCTGTGCCCTGCACTAGCTTTTGTAGATTATCCTTTCATTAAATTCATTTCAAATTACCCAGATCCAGTACATAATCTGTTTTCAGCAAGGCCCTGACTAATAATTCTCCTTGTAAATGATTCCAACAATTCAAAAATAAAGAGAGTAAAACATGAGCACCCTCATTATATCTTTTGATTGTGAACACTGAAAATATAATTCAAATTGGCTTGAATGCCTGGATTTTTCTAGTTCTCTGAGTCAATAGATCACATGCAGAAGCACAAACAGAAAGACACTTTTCATAGCTAGTTATGGTTTAAATCGGCTGGAGCCGAAGTTCAGAGGACCCTTGAGCAGGCTTTTGTACACACCGCCCTGGGGATGCGTTTGTGTGTAGTAGCAGTCAGGGTGCAGTTAGAAGACAAAATCAAATCAGTTATTTTAGCCATAATAGTTTTGTATAAATAACTGTTAATTAGGTATTAAACAATTAAAAGGGCAAAAAGAAAATGTCATTATTCCGGACGGAGCATCTGCAGGCTGCAGGTGCCCCACTAGTTCTGAGGGTCCAAATGTGGAGCCCTAAAGGGGGGGCCCTGCAGAGGTGAAACTCAGAGCTCAGAGAAAGGGGGTGGCTTCGTCTGTGCTGGGGTCTCGTAGCTGGGAGGAGACACCTGACGGGAGGAGGACCCAGATCCCTGAAGAGGGCTGTGCAGCAGCAGCAGCGGGGGCTGAGTTTCTGCAGGAGTACATGGAGACTGCTTCTGCAAATGTTGGATATTTGCAAAGTCAATTAAACACCCTATTGAAACAAACTGCTGGTACCAGGGGGAAGAGGTGAGATGAGGCTAAGGTGATGCTCAATGACAGGAAGCAAACAGGAAGCCAGCACCAAACAAACAAGAGGAAGAGAGGCCCTCTCTCTCCTCCATCCTTACAGCTCCCTCTAGTGCTTTCTGCTGGCCAGGACTAACAGGAAGGCAGCTGGCAGAGCAGACGAGGAGTCAGCAGATTTCAGTCCAGCATCACAGAACAGGATCTGGAAGGAAGAGTTTGAGCTCAGGCAATCACTTAATAACTGGCATAGGGTAATGGCCAGAGGTCAACTCCACTCATTGCTTAGAGACATGGTGGCAGAGTTCCTACTTTATACCAAGCCTTTTATGAGGCCAGACTTTCTTGACTTCAGGAAAAGATAGCCCCTAATGAAGGAAGTTTGTATGAGAAAGAAGACAATTACGATATAATGTGAGAAGTACTGTGCCCACGAGGAGCACATGGAGCTTAGGGAGGGGCATTCTGCTCTGCTCTGTGGGGTCCGGGAGAGTGTTCACGGAGGCCATGTTGAGGGTGGAGCTGAATTCTGAAAAGCTGGCATAGGCAGAGAGGAGGCTACTGAGTGGACACTAGAATAAGTCAGCAGCTCAATAATCAAATTTTTGAAAACAAGAAGACCAAGCTTCTAGAACTACAGGTAAGTTCCAGAGGAGATATTTTCTGGTGAGACACAGGAGCCACTTGCTCTGCTGACCCTGGGTCCCCCTGCACTAGATTTGCTGTCACTAGGCACAGCTGCCATGAGCAAAATTACAGGCATTCAGTTTTTTAACAGGCCCTTTGTATTTGTATCACTCCCTCAGAATTCAAAGTGGAGTACCCCATAGGTGGAACCTCAGTCTGTCCGTCACCCTGCTGTAGGTGCTAAGGGACAGAAAGAAGAGCATATGACCCTGTCAGTCTGACCTTAAACCTGGCCCCTGGCTCCTCTAAGATTCAGGTAGTCAGAATATCCCTCCACAGTAAGACAAGCATCTGTCTGAGAGACTTAAATCATGCCACTAGAAATGGTCTCTTTGGCAACCGAGAGTTCATGTAAAATCTTCTCATTTGGACCGACCAAACCTCCTGTCTCACACTCTGCAACTTTCTCTCCTAAGCTTTTCAGAATTCAGCTCCACCCTCAACATGGCCTCCGTGAACACTCTCCCAGACCCCACAGAGCAGAGCAGAATGCCCCTCCCTAAGCTTCATGTGCTTCTCGTGGGCACAGTACTTCTCACATTATATTGTAATTGTCTTCTTTCTCATACAAACTTCCTTCATTAGGGGCTATCTTTTCCTGAAGTCAAGAAAGTCTGGCCTCATAAAAGGCTTGGTATAAAGTAGGAACTCTGCCACCATGTCTCTAAGCAAAATCCACTTCACCAGTGTCCCCAATCTCTTCAGTTAGTGAACCCAGCACCAAGACCAGAATCCTTGAATTATTTCTATACTGACCCTAATTCTCTTGGATCCCATCTTGATAGTCAAAAGATATCTGAAATTATATAAAACCATCACCAATTTGCAGTGACTAAAAAGAAAGAAGTAGATTATCTGAAATTATATAAAACTATCACCAATTTGCAGTGACTGAAAAGAAAGAAGTAGATTTACATCAATCCTTCATTCCCAGGAATTCTGAACTCTTTCTAGTCTTATCAGTATGATCACATGAACAGGTGGGTCCCCATCCTTCCTGCTGTACTATGCACCATAAACCCTCCTTCCTCCTGATTTTTAGGGTCTGTTAGCCTGTTCAATACTGTAGCTTTGTCTACTGACTCAGCTCATAAGACTCTGAATTGGCCAGATGGCAATGTTTACTTCCATGGAACATTTGTTGAGCACCATGATGTAACATTACCTCTTGGGGTATAAAATGTAAACCAACAGTTTCAATAATCTGAAAAATGGGAATAAAAGAATTGTGAATGGCTGATTAGGTTTAACTGGAAGAGGTACTAATTCCAAATCTACTTCTTAGTTTCTGGACTATACATCCTGACTATTAAAGAAATAGTAACCATTATTTGTCAATGTTTCCAATAATACATAGTATATTATGATCTGGTATCATAATTTCTTTTTTTTTTTTTTTGAGATACGATCTAATTTATTCATTACTCAAAAAAAATCTTAAATAACTATGGAACATTTCACGAATTTGTGTGTCATCCTTGCACAGGGGACATGCTATTCTTCTCTGTATCATTCCAATTTTAGTGCATGGGAATTTTAATGCTGCTAAAGCGAGCACTAATAATTTATTCTTCAACAAAGGATAGGATAGGACTAATGAAATATAAGACCATTAGCCCATTGCGTTGCTTCTTTCATAGAGTATTGAGTTTCTTGTTTAAATGAAATTATGAGAAACACCGTGAAGCTGAATAAGACCTTCAGGTACAGATGTTCATAACCATGCTGACCTGAGGCACTGCAGGACTCTCCATAACAAAAGCAGTAGAACATTCAGCAACTGATGCCCAAACACAGGATATAATATTATAGATTTAGTTATACTACCTTTGATAAAATACACCAGTACACTGGTAAGGGAAATCCTGTGTTGCTACACTTAGGAATAGACTTAATATTTTTCACCATAGCAATTTTGTGCAATAAGTAAGTTCTAAAGTTGCTACAGAAAAGACTGACATTAAAAGATCAGGTTCTCTTGTACAACTAGTTATTATGAGCCCTTTGAGCTAGAATTGTCCTCTGGGTTAACATGTAGTGCAGATTTTATATGTAAAAATATATATGGTATATAATACATATATAAATATGATATATATATTTTTTAATCTTGTGAGCTCCTTTCAAGAAATTCTTCCATGTTTTTCTTTCCCCTCCTCAAAATCCTTGCCATTAATCTTTTAGTTCAGTACCTTTGAGATTTCATGTTATCTAGGCAAGCCAATGGCTACTTCTCATAAATTCTAGTAAGTTAGTGTATAAAGCAACATGAAACCATTACTGAACTCTACCTAATATACTAGCACTAAAGGAAACTGGATTTCCTATGGCATTATTTTGGGTATGAACTCCATAAATGACCCAGTACATTTTAGAGAAAGAAAATCCTCTCAATGGACAACATCAATTAATGTGCTTAGTTCATGCATCTCCAAAAAATGTTTGCATTCTCTGCAGGAAACCCTTCCCTTGGTAAATGCCTATGGGCACCTTTAGGGAGAGGTATAAGGAAGTTTCCCAGAGTGCTCTCCGGTGTCAATGGGTTTTCAATAGCAGGTATGGTACTTAAGGTGCCAAGTACTCTTTCTCTACCAATTCTCTAATTTTCATATAAGAGACAAGGAAAACCTCTGAATTCAACTGATAGTCTAATTTTTCTATCTCTAAGACCATATTTTGTTTTTTGCCAGCTCAGTCCCTGCAGCAACAAAAGACAAGGGATTCTTTTATCTTGATCTTAAAAACTCCCTGGATTTCAGTCGGTGCTGTGAGCCTAGAATTCAAGGATTTTAACTTGTCATTCTCTTTCTTTAAGCTGTTCATTGATGTTCAAAACAGCTGCCCCTTCTCTAAGTCCATAAATTCCTCATGTTCATCCTGCTATTTTGTGGTAGGGGCACCTCAATTCCCAAAAGTCATTCCTGCAAGAAGCACTTGATGCCAGGTGACTATAGGCAATGATTTGATTAGCTTTTTCATGATTGCTGAATTCCCATCTTGGCATTTAAGCAAGGTTTCAACTAGTTTCTGACCTAGCTGTGCAGATAAACAATTGACAGTGCCCACATTTCCTTGCAAGTATCTGATGCACATCATTCTCCAGTAACAATTTTTCTCTCAGTTAGGGATCTTGGATGTGAGCAACAAAATCAGCTCTCGTTAATAAAAAGAGAAAATAAGTGTGTTGAAAGAATGTTGGGAAGCTCATAGAATTAGCTGGCAGGATGGGGTACCTGCTAGGAAAATGGGCTGAAAACAACAGAAGCTTTGTAGATGAAACCACAGCCAAGATTATGCTGCAAAACTGTTCTTGTTTGGATACCCCATGGGTACCACCAGTGCCATTGCCAAGCTCTGCCCCTAGATACTGATAGTGTCATGTACAATGGAAAATGATAAATGGTAAATTCAAAGGACACAAAGCTAGATCCAAATCACTGGTAAGCATGAGAAAGATTGCAAAGCAGGCAGGAAGAAACCAGTTCATCTCTTCTGGTGATATACGTCAAAGTAGCACACATAGAGGAAACCATTTTCTGAGATTTGAGATCTAAAGGGGAAGGACTTTTAAGAGGCATACAATTAATGTGCCATCGTCACCCAATGTCTTCCATTATGGTCGATTATCAGTTCTTTGACCTTAAGAAAGTCACATTTCCTCACTATGACCAGCTCCTTGCTTCTACAATAAAGAAAATAATCACAGCTACTACTTGAGACCCCAGGTGGGGTAGGGGTGGGGGTTGAGTTAATATACACAAACCACTTAGAATAGTACCTAGTATGTAGTCTGCACTTGGTAAGTGTTGTTAACTAGTTTTGGTTGTATTGAGGTAAGAGCAACAATAGAGCCACTTCAAGTTTAAAGAAAATAAATACGAATATGTAAATATAAAAATAAGAGAGCTTTTGTGCAATTGTTACTTTAGTCAATTTTAAAACTGCCATTGGAACAATTTGGTCATTTAGGTATCTCCCACTTTCCATCTAAAAATAAACAAGTCATAATACTTGCAGGATAATTTTTCTCAGAGTTAATAGATTCATCTTCAGATTGAAATTTCTCTATGAGAATAGTTAATATACTGGGAATAAAAAAGAAAATGGTTAAGCATAGCTAATAGGAATTGGCCAACAATACAGTTGATGATAAAAACTTAAGGGCACCCCATTAAAGTGAGAAACCAGACAAGCATGGCACTATGCCCTCATGACTCCTGTCCTCAAATTACAGCTTATCCCACTGCTGGAGCCTAAATCTCCAGGGTGTCCTGTCTTTCTGAAGCAAGGTATGCTGTGCCTCTCACTAAGGGTCAGAGTCGCAGCTGCTACCTGGACTCCTGTGACTGGAGGGGTGTCTCAGAGTCTCAGACTCTGGGATTGTAGGCAATGAGCATCTCCCTTTGCCCCAGAGGGTAAATCTGTATCCCATGAACCAGGTGACACATAGGTTCTAGAGACTTTGAGGTTAGGACCCTGATACCGCTATCTCTCTGAGAACCTATAACTTTGAACCCAGAGTCATTGTAGCTGACTGTGGACCATGTAAGACCCAACACCAAAGGGATCCCCTCAGATAAGATAGTCCATTGTCAGGAAAAGAACAGGAGAACTCCCAAAGCCTCTGATTCCAAAGATGCTAACAACTTACGTTGCTGCAGCCAGTTCAGAAGACTCCTACAAGTCCAATCAGTGAGGCACCCAGAGTCCTCAGTAATGTCAACAGCAGCTGCAGACACTGCACAGCGGCTATATCACTCCGTCTACTTGGAAAAGAGCCACCACACCCTTCCCATCTGGTACACAAAGATTCAACTGTAGGTGAAACTTTTTCCCAGTGAAAATCACTCCATAAATTTGTAAGAGGTGATTACTCCACTGGATGTGCAGACATCAACACAGGGACACACACAATATGAAAAAGCAAGGTGACCTGACACCCCAAAAAGGACACAGTAATTCTCCAGTAACTGACCCTAAAGAAAAGGAAATTTTAAAATTACCTAAATATAAATAGGCAATTCAACAAAATCAGAGAAACAATTCATGATCTGAGTGAGAGAGATAGATAGATATTATAAAAAAAAAAAAAAAAGAACCAAACACACAAATCTTGGAGCTGAAGAATTCAATGAGTGAAATAAAAACATTATAGAGAACATCAGTACCAGACTAGATCAAGCAGGAAAAAAAGAGACTCTTAACTTGTAGGTAGGTCTTTTGAAATTACCTAGTAAAAAAGGAAGAAGGAGAAAGGAATGGAAAAAAAAAATGTGAGGACAGACTTTGAGACTTATGGAAAATTAGGGTCAAAAGGTTATTTAATCAAAGAATTGCTGAAAAGTTTCCAAATTTTGGAAGAGTTATGGACATTGAGATATGCAGAGCTGAAAAGTTCTCAAGCTGATTCAATCCAGAGGATCTCTGAGGCATCTCATAATTAAAATGTCAATACCCAAAGATAAAGAGAATATTTTAAAATTATTGTGGATACCTCGTAGTTGCATATATTTATGCAACATGAGATGTTTTGATACATGCATAAAACATAATGACCAATCACTATAACAGGGGTATCCATCACTTCCAGCATTTTTTATTTTTTTATGTTAGGAACATTCCGATTTCCCTCTTTAGTTATTTTAGGTTCTATATTAAATTATTTTTAAGTATAGTCACTCTATTGTGATACTGAATACTAGATCTTATTTATTCTGTGTTTTGTGCCCATTAACCCATATCATTTTATCAATTTCTCCCCTCTACCCTCTCTAGCCTCTGGTAAGTATAATTCTACTCTCTATGTCCATGAGTTTAATTACAAAAACATTAGCCTGGGTGGCACCTGTGGGTCAGTGGGTACGGTGCTAGCCCCATACACCAAAGGTGGTGGGTTCAAACCCGGCCTGGGCCAAATTGCAACAAAAAAATAGCGGGCATTGTGGAAGGTGGCTGTAGTCCCAGCTACTCAGGAGGCTGAGGCAAGAGAATCACCTAAGCTCAGGAGTTGGAGGTTTCTGTGAGCTGTGTGATGTCACAGCACTCTACCAAGGGTGATAAAGTAAGACTGTCTCTACAAAAGAAAAAAAAATTAGCTCCCATTTATGAGTAAGAACATATAAAACTTTTCTATTGTGACTGATTTGTTTCACTTAACATAATGGTCTCTAGTTTCATCTACATTGTTGCAAATGACAGGATTTCATTATTTTTATGGCAGAATAATATTCTATTGCATACACATACCACATGTTCTTTATCTGCTCATCCCTTGATTGATGCTTAGGTTGATTCCCTATCTTAGCTATTATGAATAGTACTGAAAAAAACATGGGAACGCAGCTATCTCTTTATTATAATGATTTCCACTTTTTGGATATATATCTAGCAGTGGAATTCCTGGATTATACAGCAGCTCTATTTTTAGATTTTGAGAAACCTGCACAGTGTTTTGCACACTTGCTGCACTAAGCTGCATTCCTGCCAATGCTGTAAGAAGGTTCCTCTGTCTCCACATCAATGCTGGTGAGAACCAGAATTTTT